GGTTGGCATCCTGTCTGAGGCAGCAGATCAGTCAGGAAGTTAACCAGGAGTCCAGATGCTGGTCTTGGAAAGGCTCCTGCCAGAGCCAGGCTTCCATGGATTTCAGCTGCCAAATTCCCTCCACACAAATGTCCACAGTTCCTGGCTCTCACACTGGGGTAGTTAGAGGAAAAGCCTGAAGAAGAATGTTTTCTACTCTACAATTAATGGGGAGGAGCAGTGCCAGGGGAGCAATACTGCTGACATAGGTTGGCATGGCCTGCATTGCAAGTTACTGTTTTCCAGCCAGAGAAAGTTCTTGTTTGTCCATGAAGATTTGCACACGTGATGGGACAGGCAGCACAGCCCAGGCTCTGCCCTGAGGAAGGGAATTAGGCTGGGCTGCTTTCCCCTTACAGGTTGCACTGAGATACAAATGCCTACACACATTTATATGTTAGATAAATATTGCAGTTCCTATCTTCCTACACCATCCTAGGAAAGTCACCAATTTTTCAATAGCTGCTTACACTGTAGCTACAACTTCATTTTCCTTCAGGCTCCTGAAATCCCAACCCCATGGAAAGCTAGGACTGTACCTCAGGCTCTGTATAACAGAAAACGTCATGTGCTAGTAATGCTTTTTTTTTTTTCCTAAATAGGCTTTGGTTAAGCAAATATGTCTGTGATGCTCTCGCTGACATCTCTGTGGTGGGGAGCACACCTGCCTTTTGCTGAAGGTCTGGCTCTGCAGGTACTGAAAGGGATTTTCTTCAGGCACCCTGCTTGAAAGCTGGGACTGCTTTTGGTGAGCACACACTACACTACCTGCTCATAAAAAACAACAGTGTAAAGCCAAACCTGCAAACAAGGTGTACATGGGGATTTCAAGTCATGATTAATCATCATGCTTCAACTAATTTGTCCCCTAATTTTATACCAGTGACATGAAGGTTTCTGAGACTGCAGGATCTATGAGCACCATCAGAATGGGCCATCATTCCTCAGACCAAACCTAAGGGTCAGTGGAGAGCACACATGCACATGTCCCTCCTGGGACAAGAAGGTGTGAGATTCCAAATCCACAGTCACATTAGCACTTTCCGGGATGTTAATGCTTTTAACGTGCTGAACCTGGGAGGTTTTTTTCCTTCTAATTTCAGATTACTCATTGAAATCTCGATTGCAACTGTGGACCATGAGTCCATAAAAGGTGATGTGGGTAGTGAACCCTTATAGATTCAGTTGTTGCCTGAGGCTTGATTTTGTTTCACAGGTCTCTCTCGCATACTCTGGGGTGTGTAGTTTGTTAGTTTTGAGCTGGGCTATGGCTGAGTTTCAAATTACAGCTTAGGGATATCCAAACAAGTAGGAAAAACAAAAAAAAAGATTATTTAATCTAACATGGATTCTTTTACGAGGAAGTGATGAAAGCAAACGTGACAACTGTAATCACAAAAGGAATTACTTCCAAAAGCTTTAAGCAGCTAAAAATATAGCAGAGAGGAGAAGGAGGAAGGATTTAGGACAAAAGCTGGAATTCAACCTTAAGTATAACAATGAGTATCTACATTTACTGTCATAAAGACCTCATCAAAAACATGTGCTAAAGGTCCCTGTGCACACAGCAAACACTGCACTATTTTAACTGGTCTATTTTGGGCCGACTTCATAAGGACCCATTGGTCACAGTGGCAGAAGTCACTTTTTGCTCATATCTCTATATGAAGAGACAGCACTTCTCACAAATGACAGTAAAGGCTAGGGTATTTAATTCAAGATTTTATCTTTTGTTTAGTGGCATTTTGCCTTCAGTTTCACTCTGCTGTTGACAGAGACATTTGAACATTTTTATTGATTCAAAAATCTGAGCATTAAGACTCATCTTTATAGTTCACTTAAAAGTAAATGTTTCAAAATGCAAAACTCCTCATGCAGCTTTTAAACTTTATTGGCTGAAGACTGAGTGCTGTAAAATGATTTTTTCTTCAGTAATGGAAGTTCTATTTTACAGAAAATGGTAACCATTAACTTGGCTTGCTGAGAGCAAATGAACAAAATCAGATCTGCTCTATGAAAAAGGAGGATCTGGTCACCATAATAAAAGTACAAATTTTTCATAGCCTCTGTTTTTTCAAGACCTGCTCATTCCTAACTCCTGGGTTTTACTACACAGTCATTTGTTAGCAGAGGAATCATTTTGCTCATTTTAAATGCAGCTGGAATGAAAAGTGATACAGGCAGAAACAGGAATGAATGAAGGACAACTTGGAAAATAGTTCCTTCCTCTTCTTCAGCTTGTGTACTATGTGGAAGGAACTCAGGAGGTTATCCATGGTAGTATCAGCTACATCCTTGTTCTTCCTGGCTGCTGTTTTTCTACTCTTAAAAGCATCCCATCTGGAGACTCAGAATTTCTCCAGTCAATCCATTACAGGGCTTCATAATCTTGCTATCACAAAGATTGTTTTTTTTTTTTTCTTGGTGTCTAATAAGAATCATCCCTATTCCAGCTGAAGCCTCTCCTTATTATCTCACCACAGGATCTGTACTCTGCTCTTTGTAGTTACCCTTGGGATATTTAAAAACATTCTCAGCATTCACTCCTATCTCTTTTTTTTTTACAGTAAGCAGATGCAGTTTGTCCAGTCCTTCCCCCACAGGTAATTTTTGTTGTACCTGTGGGGATTACAACAGTGCTCTGGATCCTCATCAGATTATCAGCATCTTATGTGCTGGGACCAAACTGAACTAAATGGGGCTGAATTCATAGATGGACAAAATCAAAATACCTACAGCACCCAGAGTCCTGTGGCTCCTGTGTCTTTTCTAGCATTGGTACTGGGCACAGCACAGGCCCCAGATTCTATGACCTGCATATGGCATCTGCATGATCCCAGACATGCTCCAACAGCTCCTAGCACATGCCTGGCATCCCTTCAAAGAGAACTAAAGGCCTCTTGCCTCCACTTTTTATAATGATGGTGTTTTCAGTGAGAACCAGGCCCTGAATTAATCTTTGTTCCCCTTTTAAGTTCCAGACCTCACAGGGATGCACCTTGTCACTTCTTGAGCTCTCCTTGTCTGCAGAACACAAAATTCTTCACACGAGGGAACAGCATGTGGATAGGTTTGAGAATTCAGCAAGCTCTCCTCACATAAATCATCAAACATCTCTTCAGCTGCTCAAGAAGTTATTATTCCCATTCTGCTTTACTGCATGCTATTCCTGAAGCTTTCTTGAGAAATTTTCTGTACTGAACACCTATGAAGTAGCTACCTGGTCATCTGTGGCACCTTTGCCTCTGTCTCGAGACTTGATGGAATTGTTGAGAAAATGGGTTTTGGCAGTGACTTATTTTAACAGACTTGAGCCTCATCACAAAACAGAACAGCACGGGCACTATCAGACACGTGCAATCACTGGAAGAAGGGAAAACAGTTGTGCACTGTCCCCCAGTGAATATTTTTCACATGTGTCTGTTCTTTCTCCCTGTCTGTAAAGTTTGGCAGGAATTGATTTGAAGGGCTGGGAGAGAGCTGGTTGTGGTTGATGGAAGACTTTGTGGGGGTAACAAAGTTGTGCTGTTCTGGATGGATGCAGCTACAGAAAACTCAAAGTTCAGGATTCAGGTTAGGGTAGGCTAGATACACATACAAGTTCTCAAAGAGCAAGGTACAGGAAAATGTATAGGAGAAGGTAAATAAATGTCCTTGGACCATTTAGTAATAGTTGAACTTGTATGAACATGGAACAAAGGCAAGGCAGACAGAGTCTGAGTCTGCTCAGACATGGGATGCTCCAGAATGCCTCTAAGTTCACATGGGGTTGGCATTTTTGTGGCTGTACCCACCACTGACTGTCAAATGGCCTGAACTCAGCCCCTCTCTAACATTCAGGCTGTTCCTCAGCATGGACATGGCCTAAAAGCATCTCTCATTGCTTCAGACTTCCCTTAGTTTTGTTCAGTTGTGGAGGTTAAATAACCAGATGGTCAGAGAGCAGCTCAGGGTGTGCTGAACACACAAGCAGACAGGTGCAAATAGACCAGAAATGAGAGCACAGAGCTGGGACAGGATGGGTTGTCAAAATACTTCTCCAATATGCTGGCAGGAGTTTTCAGCTGTTGCTGGTGCTCACACAGATGCATTTAATGCTAGCTTAGAAATTTCTTCCAGAGCAGTACTCACACCCATGAAGTAGAGACGTATTTTGGGAGGGAATAAGACACTGGAGCGGTACCTCCCTCTTTTTCCTCTGGGATATGCTGCTTCCAGCTCACCCCAGCCCTCCCTCAGATGGCAGTCCTTGTTCCTGCTGTGCAAACCTACCTGGCATGCTCCCTCAAACCCCAACGCTGCCATAGGACGGGATGTCAAAGCCAATATTCTCCTCCCATAACAGGAATAATAGGAAAAAGATAGGATAATAGGATAATAGTCAAAAGAACAGCCCTTCAATCTCGCATTTAAACTCCCTAAAATAAGTGCTAAATAAGCTTGAAACTGCCAGGTTCGTGCCTGCCTTTCTGGGAGCGGGGAGCTGGCTGACACAGGCGTGCACCTCCCTTCCTGGGCTGACCTGGCCGGTGCTCCCAGGGATCTCCCAGCACCCGCTCCCTGGTGGGATGGCATTCCCCAGCGAAGGAGAGATCGCGTTACCCGGGCCCCTTGTGTAATTCTGGTTCCCAGCAATTGTTTTCTGGTGACCTTTTATTGTTAACAATTAGCGCTGGAGCTGGAGCACAACTGGTGTAAGCATATTTTACATCCTCCTCAAGCAAACAAAAAAGCTGGGTGGGCACGGTCTTGTTTCCTGGTTCACACCCATGACTCCTTTGTGTCTCAGATCTCCTCCCACCATGTGTCATAGTCAGCAAACCCACTCCCTTACCTTTTGGCTCTCAGATAGAGTGACGTCTTCGAGGGATGCGTAGGCATGCTCGGTGTATTCCATTATTTCCTTTCACATCCTATATGAGCACTGCCTCTCCCTAATACTCAGTCTTTCCTTATTCATGAGGCCAGAAATGTAAATCCCTATGCAACAGAGTGCAAAGAGTGAGTTTGAAGGATGGTTTCTATTTATTTAAATGTACAGGCTATAAACACCACCCTCCTACACTGTGTTTTGGGTTCTTGCATGTATTTCCATACAGTAAATATCTTGACAGTTCCCTCTGCTCGACCTCAGTGATATACGCACATCCCTGGAGGAACAAATATATCAACAGTCTGCTAATCTTCACAAGTAATAACATAGATTTTTCTTCTCTCTCTTCACTTTATTAAACTACAGTTGGGGAGAAAAGACGTAGTTGGCCACCTGCTCCAAACCAGTTGTGGTAGCCCAGGAATATGCCCAGTTCCTGAGCTGAGGACCCTTCCCAGATGTGTACTTTGCCAGTAAGTCTTTGTCTTTCCTGTGGGGAAGAAGGGAAGATGGGGAGGCAGGAGATCAAGGAAAGACACTCCAACCTAATCTTGTTTCCTGCGTTATGGCGTGTGTGTGTGAGGGGGTGTGCAGTGGGCGGAGGGGGGACACTACATTAATCAAATCGTGATTCTTTTAGGGTACAATAGGCAATTAAAAACAACAACTTGAATTTCTCCTGCATTCTGTTGGCAGCTAACACACAACTCATTCTTTCTGCGGATAGCTTTACTTAGCAGGTCTGTGCCATGACTAATGAAGCCATCTCTCCGCTAGCGTGCTAATTCCAGACCTTTTGGGAAGGAGCCCGGCTGCAGCTCACTGCATGGCCCTCCCCTCCTCGCAGGCTCCTTATGGCCACCCTGCATGTCCCTCCCACTGCCTGCACTGTGCTCGGCAAAAAGTGTGAGAAAATATTTCTCCCTCAAATCTGCTTTCAGGAGAGCGCTGCTTTGTGATGACATTTAAGGACAGATTTATCTGGGGCGCTTCTCATTTTATCCAAAACATTTGAAAGCCTCTTCCTTGGCAATCTTCTTGCCTGCTCCTCGGTGGCATGTTATCTGATCTCTCCATACCCACTGGCTGTGGGGAGAGGCACGCGTTTCACCGGTAAAGTCATAGTTAAACTAAACATTAAACTGTCCAAGAACTGACTTCCTCGACAGCTCTGATTCAGGCTCCCAAAAATGCTCTGCACAGTGAATCATGCTTCCTTCTGGAAATGACAGAACTTCCTCATCATGGTGTTCTAACTTGCCCTCTCCTCGTCTCCGGTGCTATCAGGAAAGGATTGAATCGCATGCCACATTTTTTCCGTGGTCGGCAGGGAGATGCATCCTTTCTGAAGGGGAAGAATTCCTATGAGTCAAAGGATGACAAACTGAAAATTAGTACCAGCCGCAGAAATAAATGACAAACAACAACATAAAGCCCCGTAGAGGTGGCCAGTGGGTGTTTATTGGCTATTTGCCTTTCTAGCAACTTGAGTAGCCTAAATATTGAGAGGCAAACTTGCTTTACACCACTGAAAGTAGGAGCAAAGTTGAAACCTCCAGGATTTGCTCTCTGATTGTCTTTGCTGTGCTTGGTTTGACAGGTCTTGTCTGCTCGAAAGTCAGGTAAGGTGGGGCAGTGCATGAAGTGTCCCAGAGTCCATTCCAGTTCTGAAGGACACACAGCAAGTGTGTGGGGAGGGGAAGGATAAAGGACAGTGTTTTTGGGGGTTTGTTCCAGGCAGACTCACTCAGCAGACTGGTTCACAGGCATTGTGGTGACAGCAATTTAGAGACAGTTTGATGCATAGGACTTTGAAATCAAAACAACAGCCCCGTGCTTCAGCCCCACCCCACGCAAACCTCTATGACTGCTGAACAACACAGAGTTGGGGTAAATACCTGACCATATGGTAAATGATGACTTGCACTGGAAATCAAAATTTTAACAGCTCTTTTTGCTTTGTATACAAAATTTTAACTCCTCCAGAACCAGTGCAGGTGAAAGCCCAAGATGCACAGTCAATATTAGTTGCTAGGCTCTGGACATTTCTGGGATGAAATCCTGTTCCAAACCAAATCACTAGCAAATTCCCAAAGGAATAGATTTTTCAGCCTCATTTAGACATAATATAATAGGAGGGTCTAGACACTAAAAACTGGAGAGTGGCTGAATGGAAATATAGGGGCAATTACAGTGCTTCCCTTATTTTCTTTCCTTAGCCATATTCCATAATCAGAAAAGCACTATGTACTTAATAGTGAAGAAGAGTAAATAATACCAAAAATATGTAAACTTTCATCTGTTTTAGGCAGATGAAATGCATTTTTTCAAGACAAATTTAGGAGCATTTATTGCCTTAGAGACTTAAGTTTATATTCCTGCCCTTTACATTGTCCCTGAGAAATGGTATTGTTTGCATATTGACATTTCACTATTGCAATGTGGTTCAGACTTGCTGCTCATAGCAGATGAAATACAATAGAAAGAGGCATGAAGAAAAGAAACAAAATTAATGCCTAATGCATCTGAGCCTGTTTGGGGATCTCTGTTGCACCAAGCAGGCTTAAAGCACACCTAAGGTGGAAGTCAGGGAATGCAGAAATGGAAAAAATTCCTGAACCACCATATTCAGTCACAGGCAGCACAAACATAGAGTACATTTCATAAATGGGTCAAGTTCTACCCTGAAAAGAAGACAGCTTGTTGCTTCTTGAAAGGCTACCCCACATCTTAATCCTCCAAGTTATCTTTTTCTGATTTCCTCCACATGCTTCTTTGTGGCCAGAACAATCTTTGTGGTGTCTGTTTTAACTCAAAACACACTGGTAACAACAATCCATTACTTAAATATAACACTTCCAGGCAGCACCTGATTCAAGGAGTAAAAAATATTCTTAGTAACAACTAACAGTCAGGTCCTTCAAATGCATGTATTAGGGACTAGGATAGCACACAGAATAAAAGTACCCACTCATTCTTGTCTCCAAAACCACAATCCCTCTGGCTGATCAGAGCTGCAAGGCAGGGGATAGGTATTGAATCCCAAGGACTGATCATGCTCAGCAGTTTTGCAATCAGATAGGACCTTGCCAATTTGCTGACTCATTTCCTTTGGTCCCTCGGATGTAAAAATGAGAGGTCTCATCCCACTGCCACTGTATGCCTCATTGATAGACTCCAAAGCAATCTGAATCTAATGGGAAAATTCACACATCAAAAGTATGTAGACTCATGGAAATGTAATTGAAACAACACTCAGAAAGAACATTTCAGGGTTTTGTAAATTTCATTAGTTTAAAAACTGTAGTCTTAATGAAGAAAGGCTTATTTTAAACCACAAAGAGAGCTGTGGGAATTAGAAATTATCTATTTTCAGCAGTAATGTCTGTTGCATTTTTTATTCATCTGTTTTTCAGATGAGAGTTGAGCCCAGTTTTTGTACAGCTGCTGGCAAACCTCTCCTTGCAGTGGAAGAGGCCGATTGTTCATGTTTGGAAGATGCTTCAGATGTCCTCTGTCACACAACAAACACATGCAAGAAGAACTTGCTCAAGTTGGATAGGCTGCAACACAAGACCAAGGTCTCATTCCCAGGAAAGGGAAGACTTGGTTTACAGGAGGGTGCAAGGTCTCCATGGACAGAAGAACACCAGGGTTAAAGAGGCATTTTGAAGAGGAGAAAAAGCAACAGATCAGTACCAGGTCTTGTCTCTGTGGCTGCAAACCAGACAACCTGAGAGCAACAGTGGTGGCCAGAAGAAGTTTTGGAGTTGGAGAAGTCAGGCTGGAGTGGGGAGTGGAGGACATACTCCTGGCATCAATATGTCTCCTTATAGCTCTGATGGGTCATATGAAATGCTCTGTGTTTGAGTAACGCTTGATTGGTTGTACAACACACTGTACTTACCAATGGTGACATTAATGAATGTAATTGCACACAGTGATTATGGATTTAGGGGGCCTGTTCACTCTGCTCCCAACCTCCCTTCATATCTGTGAATGCCACAGTGAGTAGAAAAATACCATAAAAATTCACAGAAAGGCTTTTCTCAAAGCACTAGTCTGGAAAAGGAATAATGCAGCTCCTCTGTGGACAGCACAAGAAGCCATGAGCTATCTTCAAAAACACTGTCAAAATCAAAACTTTCCCATCACTTCCAGTCCACAAGCTGGTCTCTTTTTTCTCCCCATGTGTACGAACACATAACCATGGTTATGAGCTCTCTTTCCAAACAATTCCTCCCTCTACTCACCCCTTTTCTTCTGCTCTGTCCACATGCACATGTTCTGGCTCTTTGCTCTTCTGCTCACAGACAGACTGACTGCTCTTGCATACCCACAGGTAGAAAACAAAGTGAAAACCCAGGGCCAGCAAAGGCTTCTGCATGCCCAGCCAGCTGCTGTCTCCCACAGGAGACTCAGGGAAGAAGCTCCTGCCAACCCACAGCTCCTCCTGGCTATCAGGGTACCACTGACTCCTTGGCTGTGGACTCACCCACTGCAATCCTGTCATTCCCCAGCAGCTCTGCAGGGCTGGAGCAGGTCACCACGTGCCTTCAGAAGGCTGTGAATGTGACTGTGTGCTCCTGGTGACTCGCTAGGAGGTCACCAAATGAACCAGATCCTGAGCACTGAGAAACTCTGCCAGCCTCCTGTGAATGGGAGAAAAAGGAGGAAGGAAGTTCTGTTGTTGCATTTTTTCATGGTGATCGGTGCTGAGTCAAAAAAAGGGCTCCAGGATTAGAGGGGGGAAAAGCTAAAATCATTAGAGAAATAGAATTTAAAAAGGATAAGCCAGCTGGATGGGAGTGGGAGCCCAAAAGATACCATATTCTTCTCACTGTAGATGATGGTTGTGAGAAAAATCAGAGAAGGGAGTGACAAGTGGGTGGTGATAGTCTTCACTGCTAGAGTATGACCTGCATTTTTTCTCATCCTGGCCTCTCACTAATCCAACTATTCCCTGTGGGAAGACAGAGGGAGAAGGCAACATTGGGCAGGTCCAGTTGAGTCTGCTCTCCCTAAGGAATGCCTCTGGAGCAATGGGGTTGATTTCTGCTCAGCCTTCCATGAGTTGTTCTCAATCACTTGTACTGACATGGAGCTGGTGGACACCACAAAGGGCCAAGGTGCTGACCAGGGTGTTCCCCACATTAAGCAGAGCTAAAGCTCAGACAGACTGCAAGCTTGGGTGAACTCTTAGCCCTTTGCCAAGGTAATGTTGCCAGATTTTACACACTAGAACTAAGGAAAAATAACTCTAGTAAAGCATGTTTGCACTTCTAATAGTGCATGCTAACTACTTTACTGGAGAAGTGAGCAGCTGTTCCAAAAGTACCAGAAAATTCCTGGCTACATGGTTTTTTACAGTGGATGCAGGACATGCTCATATTATTTAGGATGTTCACCAATTCCAGTAATACACTGAATATATGCCCAGAAATTAGTTTCTGAGATATTTACATTTTAGGCAAGAATCCTTTCAAAGTATTTCCTCAGGCAACCAGCAGTGTAGGGCTGAAGAGTTTATCTTGGTTAATTCTGACTGATTTAAAAGGAAAAAGATTGTGGGGATCAGCTCATTAGCAGTATTAAACTGGCACTGGTCCAGCAACCTAAGTAAACTTCTAAATTCATAAACTGGCTGGAGAGAGTCTGGCCCTATTCTGCAACTATTTAATCCCTTAGTATGGCAATGGTTTTACCCCACTGTACTGGCAAGAGCCAGCTTGGTTTGAATGAAGAAATACTTCATGTTCTTCAGCTCTCTCTTTTTGTCAAGCTGCTGAAGTCCAAACACTGCTTGTGATCCTCTGTATGGTCAGTGCTTGACATCTACTAGAATGGATTTCTCAAGCTGATAGATGAGACTGATGTAGGAATGTTAATTTTTGTGTCTACACCAATTAAATAAATGTCCTGCTTCTGGGCAATGGATTGGCCTATGTACATTTTCTATGGCTATTATTTTCTGCACATTTTCCAAATCTATTAATATGGTGGAAACTATGTAAGATCTTTAATGCCAAATGTTTTGCTTAGGCTGTGTTTCCTCCAGTTGACCAGGAAAGAAAAAGTGGGATAAAGAGCTGCTAGTAAAACAATTTCCAGGATTGCCTGTTTTCCTTGCTTGTAAAAAGGTTCACTTCAATTTAATGTTAGTTACTAATGAATGCACAGCATAGAAGACTAGTGCCTTGATTTATGCTCCCTTGAGATATACTTCTGGCAATTGTCCAAAATGCTTTTTTTCCTTAGGGTTTCATTGATTTGCAAGGATGCAAATTAGTAAAAGAAGTAAATTGATATTGAGAAGTCAGAAATGCTGCATTTGGTGTCTTCAGTTTGTACATGCAAATTTGTATTCCTGAGATTCATCATCCTTTTGAAAGCCAGCCTTGCTAAGTCTGTATTTATTAATGTTAATTATAGAGGCAAAGCTCATGCCTTTAAAGCCTGATGTGATTTTGGTGTTTTAAAAACCATTTAATTATTTTTGAAGAATGTAAAACAACCCTCCAAAATCTGCAGCACTTGTTGTGTACAGAATAAATCTTCTGAAAATTGGTATAGCAAAGTTTGAATTAGTGTGATTTAAGAAAAATTAATAAAGACACAATTTAAGAACTTTTTTCCAACTCTGTCAACCTGTGAGAACCTGACTCATATAATTCACTCAGAACTACCATATGGCTGCAACTCTTTCAAAAATTATTCTTTCTTTTATTGGAAGGTACCTCTTCCAAAAGAGTTAAATAATACTATATGCCAGGGATTGCCACAAATATCCTTCCTCTTTGCAAATAGCTGTTGCTACTAGTATTGCCAATGCCAGCACAGCAGAGGAAAATACCCTCTGTCACAATGATCCCTATTCAGAATCCAGTGGAAAGCTAAACTGCCCCAGGAGAACGCTGCCATTAGGGACCATATTCTCAAGAAGACAAAAATGGTGTGTTCTTTGGGAGCTATGCAAAATGAAAAAGTTGTGGATATTTTATATACGGCCCCATATGTGCAGTGGAAGAGCTGGCTGGCTGGGAAGATGCCTGTGTAGGGTGGAAAGGAATTCTGAAATTAACATTAAAAGAAAAGACAGCTCAACCTGGACAACACTAAAGTTACAGGGCACTGCTTCATGATGAGGCAACGAGGACTGGCCACAGAGGAGTCTCTGTTTGTGCATGCAGAAGTAGAGTATGGACTCCAAAATGCCTGGACTCTTGATGGCTTTGTTTTTATTTTCAGTTTTCATGCTAACTGTGGCACATATAGAATTATTTTAACATACAACATAAGAATTTTTATTTGTCTGAATTATAAAGCACCATATGTGAATGCATCTGTTCTTCACTGTGTTACATTTATTATTTGTACTATGGTGGGGCCTCAAGTTTCCACCTCAGATCAGGGCTCCAACTTTCTAGGCAATGCACAAACACATAATGGGAAACACTCCCTGCCTTGAGAAAAACATATTCTAAATTGACAAAACCAGCTCAGGGTGGGAAAGGAAAACAGCCGGAGCACTGCTCCAATGGCAGCCTAACCTCATCTAAACTGAAGCTGCCACAGTCCTGCACCTCCAACCTAGAACTCAAATTGCCCGTTCAGTGGCTTAAACTGGCTCACAATTTGAGTAACTCCACTCCAGTAAAGAGAAGAGCAACAAGATCTGAAACGAGTTCCCTTTTTTCTTTGGTAAGGTTTGTTTAGCAGAGTTAGCTCCCTGAAGTTTTTCCCAGTGCTGCACTACAGGCACCAGTGCTGGCACAAGGGAAGGGCCATGGCAGGACAGTGGAAGAGCAAAGGCTGTGCCCTAGGCTGGTGTAATCTGCTGTGGAAGCTCACAAAAAGAAGTGGAACAGCCAGGACTGCAGAGGTCAAGCACAGAGTAAAAGCTCTGACACTTGTTAGCAAGTGGAGTTTGCACAACTTTTCCCACTTTGCCCAATTTTTCCTACTTCTCCTCTCCTATGTGGGCATTTTTGCACACACTTGCACAGGCTCACACAATGGTCCAGTGGGTGAGGAGCAGCATAGGGTGGTCAGCACTTCTGGATCTTCAGAGCAGAAGGCTCCTGGGGCTATGCTGAGTTCACCAGGCCATGGTCAGGAGATCCTATTTATGAACCCTTTGATGTGAAGTGATATGTCACTAACAAGCGGTGTGCATTACATATGCTCATGCCACAAAAAAACAACAGGAATGGTTTTCATCCTCAGATCCGATCCGTGTGTGCTTTCTGCTCCTTTCATTTTCAATTTGCACTCTTGTTTTTAAAAGTCCACTGGGGCTTGCTCCATCTCAGCATTTGGTTTCTTTCTTTGTCCTCCTACTGCAATCTGTTACCTCTTGTTATCTACCATTATGCCTTTCTTTACTCCTTTATGTGGTTTTGCATGGTTGCTGCTGCCTCTAGGAACAA